GATTAATGGACAGCGTCAAATGCTGTGCAATGGGTGACGACACTGGATGATCAATGGACAGCGTCAAACAAAGATGTGCAATGGGTGACTACGCTGGATGCACAATGGGTGACGACACAGGACATTCATCGGGTGACGGCACAAGACTGAACAATTAAGGACTACGAAAGGCACACAATGAATGAAGGAATAGAAGCGTCAGCCCCAAGGGTGTATGTGTCGGCACGCGTTTGAAGTCAAGCGCCGACGCGTCGCTATGTTTGTTTGCTGAGCGCAACACGACGGATGTGAGACGACGGCTGCGTCTCATCGCGCACTAACAACAAAAAGTAAATCGATTCAAATAATAGATAACGGGCCTTTTACTCTACTAATTGATTGTATTTGTGTTTCTAGATCTGAACTTCTTCTGAACTGAATTTTGTGAACTGACGATGGAGCTGGACTCCGAAACGTTTTCTCTTATAAAGATATGGTGAATTTTTGTGGTATTGTTTTTGCTTTTAAGTTCCTAGTTAACTTGCGATTTGAGCAAACAAGTGATTTTAATAATAAAAGATAAATTACACGTGATAAAACCTCAATTGCATTGCAACGTACGTATGTTTCATCGCGCACTAACAACAAAAAGTAAATCTATTCAAATAATAGATAAATTACACGAGCTAAAACTTAAACTGCATTTAAACGTGGTTTTGCTTCAATTTAATAGAAAGAGGTAAAATCTAATTTTTTCGTGAACTTTAATGAGGAATTTGAGGTTTTGATTTGATTTTGATTGAGCTGTATAGTAGAAAATAGAAATGTTAAGATGGATACTGAAATACCTCAGAAGAGGTTTCGAATTCCCTTTTGTTTTTTGTTTTCTTTTATTTAGCAACCAATATCTACCATTGATGTCAGAAAGGCATTCCCAATTTATTCATCTAATTTTTATACGCTGGACTATATGGCCTTTTTTGGCCCTAAGTATTTCACGAATGTATTTTACGTTGCCTAAATTTTCCCCTCAATTACGTCAAAGACAAATAAAACTTTAATATTATACAACTTCCTAGATATAAGATGATATGATAAATACAACTTCCTACAAGATAAGATGATAGATAAAGATAAATAAATGAATATAAGATAAGAATGAAAAATAATTTGACGATCGTAACATGTATTCGCCTGTGCTAGCACAGATAAATAAATTAATATAAGATAAGATTTAAGAGAATCGTTTGACGATCATAACGTGTATTCGTCTGAGCCAGCACAGATAAATAAATGTATATAAAATAAGAATAAAGAGAATCGTTTGACGATCATAACATGTATTCGTTTGAGCCAGCACAGATAAATAAATAAATATAAGATAATAATTAAAAATGGTTTGACGATCATAACATGTATTCGTCTGAGCCAGCACACGCGTCGTGAAGAGAAGGCCGTAAGATTTGTAGCCGAGAAGTTCAAGTAATTTATGGAGATCGCGAGTCGTGATAAGAAAGATGTTTAGTACACGCGACTCAGCTGCCTACACGTGCAGCGTTACTTGCGTTACTTTTAATCCATATTCGTGAACGGTGGTAGCGGTTAAAGAATTTTTCCAGCTCTGGGATCGATTATGAATAAAAGTTTCGCTTTTGGGAGACTTTTAATCCATATTCGTATAAGCGGTGCACATGGTAACGGTTAAAAAATTTTACAGCCCCGGGATCGATTATGAATAAAAGTTTTGCTTATAGGAAATTCCCGTGAATTAATTGTTACTATAATATTTATCTCAAGGATCATTATTTTTATGGAGAAAACGTATTGAATCATCGAATATTTTATATGATGATATGGCCTCTATTTTTCTATTCTCACGATCTTGAATTTGTTGCTGCTTTGAAGTCGATATGATTTAGATCAATTCCGAGCTGTATTTTCTCAAAAAATTAGCTCATTAACACTTAGTGTTAATTAAAATTATTGACCAGCTCCGTGATCCCGATGATATTAATTTGAAGTATCTTGCATTTATTTTACTCAAAATTTAAAACGATTTTGCTTCCCTGGAAACAGATCCCCTGCTTAGCTCATGATCATTAACACTTAGTATTGATTAAAATTATTAGCCAGCTCCGTGATCTCGAGGATATTAATTTGAAGAATTTTTCATGTATTTTAGCACAATTTAAAACGACTTTCCCTCCCTGGAAACAGATCCCCTGCTTAGCTCATGATCATTAACACTTAGTATTGATTAAAATTATTAGCCAGCTCCGTGATCTCGAGGATATTAATTTGAAGAATTTTTCATGTATTTTAGCACAATTTAAAACGACTTTCCCTCCCTGGAAACAATCCCCTGCAGTGCAGGTTGTGAAGATGATGAAGAGGAACCATTGTTTGTGTTACATTAGGGGCGGCCGCCCAGCCCTTGTTGCTCTAACTTCTTTCACATGTGAGTCTTGTGAGCCCTCACACAGACCCTCACATACTCGCCTCATATGAGCTTCCCTCACACTCTCCTTCATCTGAGCAGCAGCTTCCCTCATATGAGCAGCAGCTTCACTCACACACCTCCTTCATGCAGCAGCATCCCTCACATACCTCCTCCGTGCAGCAGCATCCCTCACACACCTCCTCCAATCCCTCACACACCTCCTTCGTGCAGCAGCATCCCTCACACACCTCCTCCGTGCAGCAGTATCCCTCACACACCTCACAACCCCTCTCTAATACATGGCCCTCTTAGCAGCACTTCAGCGACCGCTGCATGGGCTCTTCGTGGACTCACTTTGAAGTCTTTTATGGGCCACCGGCGGCCACTGAATGCGCTACGATAATTTTGAACGTGTTTTTTTTACTAAATGTGAGCGTCGGAAAGCTTGAATTTTATTTTCAGACTGCACAAAAAATTTGCATTTCAAATTCTTGTTAATAGCCTGCATGGACACATACAAAAAACCGTTCAGTCGATTGTTGTGAGTCACTTCTGGCTGAAAGTTCGCTTGTTATGAATGTCTCATTGACTTACTTATATACACTCCGAAATTGTCATATTTATGAGTAATAGTTTATTCATGTTTGAAAGTTTCGTTCTTTGCTTTGATTCACTTCAGAATGTTTATCAGATAATGCAAGTTCCATTCAAAATTTACAATCTGGGTGCAAGCTTTGCCAGAGTTTTTATTCGGTTATGCTTATACGACAAAAACAATGCTCCAGCTAAGCTTTATATGGCAATCTTCCCTTTAATTACATCCCAAGTCTGCGTAGCTAGTAAGCCAGCTTCTCAGAGGGCGGCCCCCGCTATCGCCGGGGCGAATCACAAGCTTTTTATCGTCCGCGCTCTAGAGGAAATAGACACAAAAAAGAGACTGCGTAACAGATGTTCTCTCGGGGCAAGAACTCTAGCCGCCCCCCTTCCTACTCTTCAAAATCTTTGCGTGCTTATATGGCCGGGCCAGTGAACGTGTAAAGGTTGCCATGCGACCATTCGGTTCTGATAATAAATGAAGTTTATTTTGAAGACAGCGGCGACACAAAGAAGGTTCTTTATTTTTCTATAGGAGGTTCTTCTGTACAAATAGAAAATGTGAAGCTTTGTCTGCGGAGTGTCTCACTCACTCTACTGTGTGCATGCCTCACTCTGACTACAGACAAACTAATTATCCCTCTCGTCTCCCCCTCACTAATGTTTGCTCGAGGATTCATTGTTACATTGAGACGCGGGCGAGAATTTTTTGTCTTGTTTTGTTGCTTTCGCCAGCTTAGGATCTTAAGTGCAGTGACGCGTAAGCCAATCTTATTAATTTTGACTATTCTTACATTCGATTACAGTCAGCAAACCAAAAGCCAAACGAATACTTAATAATTATTGGTAATAATGAATTTGAAAATTATTTATGAGAAGAATCATTAATTAATTATAGCCTTGAATTCAACATATATTAATTAGAAGAATCATTAATCAATCATAGCCATGAATTTAAAAAATGTTAATGAGAAGAATCATTAATTAATAATAGCCATGAATTTGAAAAATATTAATCAGAAGAATCATTGTTTAATGATAGTAATGAATTGAAAAAATATTTGTGAAGAAACATTTTCGGATCTTGTCTTGTACTGTACCACGTCCTGATTTTCTAAACCAAAACACGGCCGTTCGTAGCACGCAAACGTTGGATGATGTTATGTAATAAACTTTCATAATATATTGTGATGGTCATGGCATTATGTCTTACACCATTCCTTGTAATAGAACCAGCGTGGTAAGAACCGATGCACGATCACTTGTAATAGAACCAGCGTGGTGAGAAACGATGCACAATTTCATATGACAGTAAAAGTTATGGTTATTTTTGCAGGGCTACGAACTCCAAAAAGAAAAATATAAAATCATAATACATTTGAGTAGATAATAGGAAAATAATTATATATTTTTTTGCAATTTTGTTGTGTATTACTTATTTCATTCATATTAACAGTGATTTTGCTACGATTGCAGCTCACTAAACGGTTCTTGATTGTTTCGCGACACTTATTCGTTTGATATTCCCATTCATTCTATTATGATTACAGCACTTCAGAAGGTTATGTTCAACTATACTCTTTCCACTTATTTTGGGATTTAAATGTAATTCAATATACAATCATATAGAAAATTTAGCATGAGACACTAATTCATCATCTGATAATCAAGCTGGAAAATTAGAATTTTTTTCATTAAACCTACCGTAAAACAAAAACTTTTCAAAACTTTCATTTTCAACTCAATAACTTGTTATATTGGGAATGAACAACTTCTTTTAAAAACTATTCTGCTAACTTTGTACGTGACGAATATAATCCTTTGTTACTTTAAAACAGCTCCATACTCTAATTTTAAATCCATTAAAACTCCATACTCTAATTTAAAATTTTTAAATTTAACTTTAAAATAATTTTTTTTAATTTAAATTTTAATTTTTTAAGTCCTTTAAGTTTATATTGGTTCACTAATTATTTAATTTCGTCAGGGTGGTGGTGCTGGCGCTGCATGCGTGCTGCGCCAGGAGGTCCAGACGAGCGCACTTCACTGAGAACGGTCGGCCGGACGACCTCCACCATCATCCTTCCTCTACCGTCACGAAGGTGAACATCAATGAAGCCTGGTGACTAGGCGTGACCTCTCCTCCTCTGATGCAGTGGCAAACTAGGGACTCGACCGGTGACATCATCTCCTGTCAACTAGAAGCTTCGACAGAACCTAGACCTACCAATAACAAAGCAATACCCAGTGGCAGCACCCACTTTGACAAGCCCACGGGTTTCGCCAATCGAATTGACAGATCTGATTTGGACCAGGAAGCGGCCAAAGCCGCAGCGAATAAGAATACGATTATAGATAACCCAAGCGAACATGAATCTTTGAGTGGCAATAAACCCACATATGGTACAAATTTAGCAGTGCCTACGTTTTTAGATCATTTCCCGTCTAACCCTCAATTTGGACATACCTCAGTTAGGCGAAGTCCAAGCATCTCAACCACATACTGCAGTCAGCCTGAAGCTCATCATGAAATATACAAGAAAATTCCCATCAATGGTCTTCCGAGCCTGAAGAAACCCGAATGCAATCAACAATCTCTGCAAACTCGGATGCTGAGAAGCAATCTTTCAGGAGCACCGACCGCTCATTTGTTGCCTCGACCTAAAGACGCCAATCACTGTGATCCACAAAGGACGACGCCAAGCACACTTGTACAGCCGCTCCTTGCCGAGAAAGCCAACTCTCTTCAGAGTACTCTGGTTAAGCCTACACTAATGAGTGTGGATCAAGCAACTCAGACCGTACTAACTTTGCCTGTGACGCCTGTGACCATAGAGCAAACTTCCATCGGAGAACTGAGCAATATTCCAAAAGTGTCCGTCGACAAAGCTCCTTTGGGCGTCCCGCTGCCGAAGCCATGCGACAAAAATGAGCAAGGCACTCCGATTTCCCCAAGACAATCCAGCAGAAAATTTCCCAAAGAACACAAATCAACGAAGATGTCAAGCAACCCGAAGTCCAGGATGAATTTCACGACACCAGAGGCCAACATCAGGGAGGAAGAGGAAGGTGAAACTAATGAGGTTGATGGTAAACGTCCAGTCCGAGTGGTCTGGACGAACCAACATTACCGCTGCCAACAATAACATCCATCCTCATGAATAACTTAATTTAGTGTTTCAAAAATAACGCCTGAAACATAGGAAACACATAACGGCCATAAACAGTCTTACAACTGGTACATTTTTCGGCAAAATTATACTTAATACAATGAAAATTGCTACTGAATTTTGTTACAATGAAGTTATTATCAAATAATCAATATTTATTAAATAACTATTTCAGAACCTAAATTGCAAATTGGCACGATTTACGATAGGAATAGTGCCAGTACAACTTTTATAATGATACAATCCTTCACATGATCCAAAGAACCTTCTATTCAAAATACTCCATTTATTAAAAATGTTCTTAAATTGAGTGATCAACCGTATTAGAATTTTCCAACACACTATTATTACGTGCGATTCTCTTTATCGTTTAAATTTTGAGAGATGCACTGAATTTCAGAAAAATGTTAAAGATTTCTTAAATCTTTATTTATCTCTTTATTTCTTAAAATTCTAAATGTCTCTCTTATTTCTTAAAATTCTAAATGTATTAAGAAATTCGTTAAAGATTTCGAACGATTTGTGAGCCATTTACAAATTATCTTGCCCGATAATATATTCTTGGTAGCGACAAAAGTTCGCGTGCAATGTACTTAGGAAACCAACAAGCGGAAAATTAGGTTCAAAATTGAACAGCAACTCCAAAATATGGAATCTTGGATTGGTTTGGTTGGCCACTCAAAATAAATCGACCACATTCGATTCAGTATATATATTGAATACTGCCGCTTATTTGTATGGGTTTTTCTCTGATACAATGTACTTTCGAGAGCAAACATGGCCTTTGCTTGTTGTACAGGCTTGCAATACGAACGAAAACAAATATTCATAAGTATATTTGTAAGGTTATCTTTGTACAAAACCTCTACTAACTCATTGGTCTCGGTTGAATGCATTTATAACTCCTCATCGTGTTCATGTTACTTGATAAACTTTCGTCATTAGATTTGATCTTCTTAAGCCTCCAGGCGCATACTAATTAGCTATAACAATTTAAATATTTAACAACCATTTTTTTACTTCACCAGCCGCCTCGTAAAATCCAAATTTTATGAAAATTGCGTCAACGTAGAACCGATTTAAAGTTCCTCGCGTGCAGTTCTCTAGTGTCTATATAATTACCTTATAAAATAAATCTAAAATTGATTATCATTTAATGTAGATTTAACTTTATTTCATAAGTTAATGTTATTCTTGCGAACTGAGGAAGTCGCTTTAAAAATCATCTGATGTGCGAATATCATTGCTGATTCTATTTTTTCAAGTAATTTCTCCCTCTGGTTTACTATCACAAGTGTTCAAATAGTTATGCGTGCAACGTAGAATTCAACGTAGATCTAATTTATAATTTAGTTCATTGACGTATTAGCGTATTGAGATGAGCTTGTTTCAAAATTGTGCATCAGCTCAATATATATCACTACTGGCCGGGTTGATTTAAAGTGCTTATATATGACCACATTTATTCTACTGAATGCAATTAAATGAATTTAAATGTTCAAATTGGTGCAAAACAAAGTGTAGCATGTCTGTATTTATAATAAAATTAACTCCGAGTTGCGGTGATTATTCAATTCCAAATTTATGTTTGCGCTGACAGACATTTTTAACAATGTGTTTGGTTCACGAGTACAATAATTATTTTGATCAATGAAACAAAATACCCTCGTGTGCAAAATAAAAATGTCTACGTTCATAAACTTATTACAATAAATTTATAAACATACACATGATTTTTCGAGAAATTTTACTTATTTTGATTGAGTAATATTAATGCGTATAGTAAAAAAGAAATGTTGCTTATCATTTAGAATCGTGAAATTTTATATCACCATTCCTTTCATTGTCATTTTATGAAAATGCAAACTGCAAAATAACTACATAAGCGACAGCTTGTAATTTATTCAACAGGTAAAAGCACAGTGATTCTCTCTGCAACAATGTTCTTCTAACCAAACGACTTGAAAATATTTATAAAAGACGATCAACATAACTCGAAACAGCAGCGTCAAGATCAAGCATGCCTCATAACAACAGCGTCAGGATCAAGCATGCCTCATAACAACAGCGTCAGGATCAAGCATGCCTCATAACAACAGCGTCACGATCAAGCATGCCTCACAAACAAACATTCCTCAAAACAACAGCGCCAGTATCAAGCATGTTTCATAACAACAGCGTCAGGATCAAGCATGCCTCACAAACAAACATTCCTCATAACAACAGCGCCAGTATCAAGTTAAACAAAATTAGAGGCAGGCCACAACAACTTCATTACATTTATGAGGCTATCAAGTGGCGGCACCGTGGACAATCCCAGACTAAGCTCAAGACCAGCACGACGCCAGACATTACGATGCTCTTGACAACAACTGAATATGGCTCACAATAATTATTATCTTCACTCAACTTCTTTATTTTTCGCGCATTTTCTCATTTATGGAAAAAAGGCGCTATATTGTGCTCGTCATGTCCGTCCGTCTGTCTGTCCGTCTGTCCGTCCGTGACCACTTTTTCGTCGACGAGAAAATGCGCTCTCTGTCACTCACTGCAGTGAATACTGAGTTACATTTTTTCCTAATTTGTATATGAGATTTGTATCAGCAGACGCACGTTCTATCCGAGGACCGTAATATCAAAAACCGTTACGAGTTTATTACTATGCCATCTAATCACCGACGGTTATTCAAGCTAAGCACATCAATTACAAACGAGAAATCCGTTGCTATGTGTTATTAATTGAGTTTTTATAATACGGCTCATGATGTTTTGTATGTATGAAGGTAGCGGTGACTACTTATGTATTGACAGTAACTCCTTAAAATTTTTAGAAGTCCTTTACGCTGGTTATTAAATTTAAGACCTGAATATTCATTGCAAGTCGGTTGTTGAGCGATCCCTACTTAATTGTACCATCTAACGACAGCCATATCATCTTCTCATCTATTTAATTCATTGAAAGAACCAATGCTGTAATATTAACCTATATAGCATTGAAATTTTAAAAACACATATTAATAATCAAGTTAAAGATTATTATTTATGTCATCATTCAGTCTAGTGGGATAGAGACATAAAACTGAAAGCCAAACAACAAACTGAAGTGAGCCGAGCCATGTAAGCATCTGCTACATCACTTCACCCTCCACCCTCCTCAATGTCAGTGTCACCGTGTCTCGTATGCACGCTCTTCGTGTTTCTTGTGCCTTCAAACTGCGGTCGAGTTTCGTAGGGCGAGACTGCATATTTTTAAGACCAAGTGAACTTGAACTTATCAACTTAATTAATGCTATTTTGCTCGAAAGAAAGCTGTTACTCTTATGCACTCTCTTCGTGTTTCTTGTGCCTTCAAACTGCGGTCGAGTTTCGTAGGGTGAGACTGCATATTTTTAAGACCAATTAAGTGAGCTGAACTCATAAACTTAATGCTATTCTGCTCGAACGAAAGCTGTTACTCATATGCAATCTCTTCGTATTTTTTGTGCCTTCAAACTGCGGTCGAGTTTCGTAGGGCGAGACCGCATATTTTTAAGACCAAGTGAGCTAAACTCATCAACTTAATAATGCTATTCTGTTCGAACGAAAGCTGTTACTCTTATGCACGCTCTTCGTATTTTTTGTGCCTTCAAACTGCGGTCGAGTTTCGTAGGGCGAGTCTAAATATTTTTAAGACAGAGTGAACTGAACTTATCAAATTTATGCTATTCTGCTCGAACGAAAGCTGTTATAGAATAGCAATGATTGGAATAATGCAGGAGTACATTGTAATGAATAGTATTGTGATAAGATAGTATTAACTGGAATAGTATTGTTATACAATATTATAGAAATATATTGTATAGAATAATATTTTTATACAATAGTATAGAAGTATATTGTATATAATAGGATTGTAATAGAATATTATTTGACACTGGCACAATGAATCTCATTTTGCTGTTTTCATAGGCCAAGTA